TCGCTGGAGTCGCGAATAGACGCCATCTTTTTTCGGCTGATGCTGTCACTGACATCTTACAATTCGTACGTCCTGGTGATCACGGCGGCTTGCCTCATCGATTCATTTTGATTGTGATTATTTTGTTGTTTTAGAAAATAATAAATTAAGCGGAAACTAAAAAAGTTCTTGAGCTCGTCTTTTTATGCCGATAATTCAGTTTACGAACTCTAAGCGTCGTTCGAATTTAAAATTACGATCATGCGTGGCCTATTTTGATGTCAAAACGTAGTCAAAAAGACAAAACGCCCATTTTCTACTAAAGAAAAATGACGTGCTCGAATTTTCGAAAATGTATTTAATTGGAAAATAAGCCACACATGAACGCACACACACACACACACACACACACACACACACACACACACATATATATATATATATATATATATATATATATATATATATATTCAACCCCTGTAAACCGTCCCCTCCAGGCCGTCGCGCCATCCTTATCTTAATAAAGTGTAACAACAACATATATATATATATTACGATGACAGCGTTTATAATTTCAGGCTAGGCCTATAATATGCCGAAAACTTAATCAATATAAAAAAGCTTAAACGTAATAACCCACACCGTGCGTTTCTTAAACTCTCAGTGACGTTACTTATTGTCATAAAGAAGGCAAAACGAGCTCAGAATATGGTCATACATTTCCCAGCGAACTTAGTAAATTTTTTCCCCGCGTTTTCTTTTTTTTTTTCTAGACTCTGTCAACACTACCTAGAATAATCCACGCCTGAGACTGCTCTTCCTCTAAGTGACGTCACCACGCTATGCTATCGCCAAGTCAGCAATGGGGCCATTTTATTTGGACACGAGGCCTAGCCGAACCCTGGCGCAATACTCGTGCCCAATAACGTGTCTGCGCTCGATCTCACTGTGGTGACGTCGTTATTGCTCGTGCGCGAGTTTTTAGTAATATAGATGGCGTTGGCTCTGCTCACGTTGAAATAAAACTAAATAAGACAGCCTTTAAAACACAAAACACTGCCTCTTTTTTTTAGTTCTGGGCCGTTTTTGAAGCGTACAACGATTGCGTAAAAAGGTGACGAAGATATTTAATGTCCCAATGTAGACATTGGGACATTAAATATCCCAATGTATACAATCCAAATGTATACAAAAAAGAAAAGACAATTTTTTTCTGTTTTTTTTTTTTTATGCGCATTCTAGCCAGTAAGCACCAGCATTCTAGGGTTATGTGAAAATTAAGCTTTAAAATGTGAAAGAACACGTAGTGAGTTTTATGTTAATGAATGGCATTTATTGCCGTGAAACAATATTTCTCGTCTCTTAGGTTTGCGCCCCACATAAGAGCATTCGGTATTAGAAAAGGTTTCCTATGAGTGTTTACACTGCGAGCTTTCTTGGGTATGTTTCGGGAGTGTAAAGGTCACCCCGACCCTCGGAAAAGCAGACGGGCTTGAGCACGGCATCTGGCGGGGCCTTTAAGCACGTTTTAGAGAGTGTCTGTAGACTGTCTCTTGTATGATGTATTGGCAACCTGAATATCTTAATCGCTTTTATTTTGATTTTCTTGTTTCGACGAAACAAGAAACGTGGACGAAAAAGGAGTCGTCGCTGAGACGTCCAGCCACGAGAAACGGCAGCTCTCTGCAGTTCTGTTCCAAGTGTGCCTGTGGGGGATGTTTCCGTCACCATTGATTGAATTCATCTGGATTTTGAGCAGTTTTGTTCCCCCTGTGATGATGCTTGGGTGAGTAGAACTGAAGAAGCACTCGATAACAGGAGGGTTGGGGCGGCTGGTCGGCTGGAAGAACTGGCATTGCCAACAAGAAAAAATATATCATAATTGCACTTGCTGTGTATCGGTTTGAGGAAAGATTGGCGATGACGTCTGTAAGAGGAACTTTGTTTTGTATTCTAATACACGAATAGCGGAAACGACAGAAAAACGCTTTTTAACAGCTTGACGCAGCCCCTTGCTTTCTTGCAGTTTTATTCTATAACGCATAATATTAAAAAATACGCAGCATCAGCATAGAAACATATAAACAAATAATGCGCAGCATCAGCATAGAAATAAACTGCTTTTAACTCATTCCTTTATTTATTTCTAATAAACTCATTACGAAAAGAATATATTGCGATTCAAATAAGCTCTATGCTATTCTTAAGGGGAGTATTCAGTGTAGGAGGGAGCGTGTATTTTTAGAGACTGCATCGAACAATGGTTAAGACAAAGTGGCAGAGTCCATAGTTCCGATTACGCGACCGTAAAATACCGAGCATCCGCCCATTCCACAATAAGCGCCAACCCCTCAATTTTGTAACATTCTAAAAATACACAAAAGCCATATATTGCCGCGCGCGCAGCTGGCCAAGGAGGCAGCGCGCGTGTGGTCTAACGGTTATCGTGCCTGCCTCCCACGTGAAAAGCGAGGGTTCGATTCCTGGGAGCGACGCACCTTTTGTTATTCCTGCAATTTAGTGTTCTGATAAATTTGAGAATGCTGTTGGCGTGTTCGGCGTCCGCATGTCCTACGCGTCGCCAATTATTCCAGAAGCTTACGCATGTACAAAAGGGGCTCCGCGTGGCGAACCGGAGTCAGTCTCGCCCCAGCATTCGACTCTGCTGTTACGCCGACTTCGACGCTCGCGACGCTCTTTTGTTATCTTTTGTACCCTTTTATTTTTGGCACAAGTTCGCCATAATAAACGTTTATTTCTTCCTGTTTATTTATTGTTTTTTTGTCACCACCCGTGACAATATTTCCGTGTTGTTGGCCGAAAGAGCGCCCATGCCCCATTTCAGTTTTAAATGATTATCTTTAAATTTTAAACGGGTGCTTGCTCAGGATTTGACTGGAGACAATGTAATCAGTAAATATTATTATATTAAGTTTTTTTCCCAATATTTTATATCTATGTTGTACCTAAGACTGTCGAATCAGGAAGGAACGACATCTTCCTTTTACTCCGTAGGACGCGTCTTTTTTTGCTTTTTTCGCATTCGCGAACTATTATGATGGTCCCAAGTTAGTAGTTGGTATTTCTACCCTCGGTGTAATCGTACGTCAGGGCGCGGTCGAAGGTTAAGAGACACGCAGATGCGTACATACAGACTAGAAGCGCATTGACCGGAGGACACGCAAAGAACGTCCAATGAGAGGGGTCGAGGGCCGAGACGTTGTGCTCCCGGGACTTCTTGATTGGAGTAGTGCGCTCGTAACCTCCGCTGCTCTACGAAGACGCAGGGATTTCATATCCCTGCATTCACTCCCCTTCCTTCTCCTCCTCGTCCACCGCGGGCGCTCTTTTATTTACCGTAAAAGTCTCAGTCACCGGAATATCGATTTCCATAAAAAAGCTTGCAGGTCTCTTAAGCTTCGCCACGGAACGCGATAGCGTTATCGGGTTCCGTTCGTAAAGCCTTGTTATGTAAATGCGTGCTCGTTGCCAAACGGGACAAGCGTGTGTGCGTGGTCTAGTCGGTAGCGTGACATGTCACATGACGTCACACAGCTTGAACGTCATTACCCTATCCACCCGTTACATTTGGCGGCAAAAAGTTTCCGTTGGATTTGGCGGGAAACGTTTCTGCTAAATTTAGCGGGTGAATTTGTTTCCTATATTTGGCGGGGAAATTGTCCCGCTAAACTTAGCAGGTAAATCTCATATTGCAACGCGCGCAGCCACGTGTGACGCATGTGTCTGCGCGTGTTGCATTATGGGATATTTTATCCCACCGACGACTACGCCGACACCGACATCGACGCCGACGCCGGATTTTCTGCGAGAAAAACTCCTAAACACTATTGCATTAAAAAAAAAAAAAGACGAGTGATCGTTCTTTTTTGCTAATTCCATACGCAGACTCCTCGATTCGCAAACATTCATTCGACCCTAATGACGAGGCCATGGACCTTGCAGTTGGAGGACGTCAGTGACAAAGTAAAAGAAAGGAGGGGAATTGTCACTTCTCTTTGTTTGCGCATTTCCTTGCCCGTTTCCGCGACCCCAACATCGTTGTACACGCGTGCGAAAGGGAAGGAATGAAACTTTGTTTTGCTTGCAAAAAACGTTCGTTCGCACCAAAAACACTGTCTGAAAGATAACCTAAGCAAATAACCCATCCAGATATCACGAGGTCAGCGAACGCCCCCATATCCTGAAATGCGACCGCGGAGTGTTAGGTCAAAGTCCGCCTTCACCGAAGTAAGATCACCGCAAACCCGCTCCTTCTCCCGGAACATCGCGACCGTGGTTGGTAAGGTTGTGCAGTGTTTAGTACAAAGCCAACGGGCAAATAATGATTTGCTGGATCAGCGCACACAGACGGATGTTTGTTGAGCGCCCCATTTCGAGGTTCGTGTTCGTGGTGCCGTCCACGCCACGCAGCAATGCCGCTTCAACCTGCCGCCGCGTACGGACAGACGCATGTACACTCGCAGGCGACATGAAGGTGAACGGCGGACCGTCGACCGGTGCGCGCTATCAGCGCCTTGACGCGGCTGCCGTGGCGGCTCGCATTCTTAACGCTCGCTTCGCCGAGATTAAGCGCTTACATAAAGCGCTGTTCTCAGCTCTGATGCCACTCCCCGCAGAAAGCGTGGAAGTGGGTTTCGATTTCGGCATTGCTTTTTCTGGGCGCCGTGCCTCCGTAATTGCCGGCAAATGATTTGCACATTGTACGTGAACTAGAGCGGACGTTCTTCGGCATGGTTTCTCAGTGACTCAACCGCTTTTTTCATTCATGAGTGAACGCTATACTTCGTTTCAACTTCGGTCCGAGCGCGGCCTGTGTTATGAGCCGAAGGGCCAATCATACAGCACCAAAAGCGCAGCGTCATGGCGTGCTCTCTTCGCATTATAGAACTAGCCGGCAGAGGAGCCGTAGTAGTAGTAATAAATCTTTATTTGCCCGGATGGAGTGTTAGGCGATCGGTGTCAGCTGCCCCGCGAGGGGTCGCCTTCCCCGGTCGTCTTCCTCAGACGGCGGTTTGGATCCCCTGGATCTTGGCGGCGTCCTCGGCCCAACGGACAACGGCTTCTTGGAACTCCTGTGATGAGGCCTTGAGGAAAGCGTCCCAGTCGTCTTGACTGGTGACTGCGGAGATCTTGGGATACTTCGATTGATCGAGTCGTGCGCACTCCCACAGCATGTGCCGCAGGTTCGCCTTCGCTCCACAGAGCTTGCACTTGGGGGAGTAGCGGTCCGGGTACCGCTTGTGGAGCGTGGAAGGGTTCGGGTAGGAGTTCGTCTGCAAGCGTCGCCAGGCCACCGTCGATGCCTTGTCCAGCGCGGCGTGCGCCGGCGGGTAGCGAGCGCGATCGCCCGCGTAGTAGTTGAGGACGTCCCGGAATGTGACCAGCCCGTGTCTCCCCGCCAACGACGTGGTGGAGGGGTCCAGCCTTACGCCCGCCCGGCCAATCAATCCTCGGGCTGCGCTGTGAGCCTTCTCGTTACCGGGAAGAGACGAGTGAGCTGGGGTCCAGATCAGCTTGATGGGAGACGTCGCGGGGGCGAACCCGCGCAGAATTTTGACTGCTTGTGGCGATACACGACCCTTGGCAAACTGTCGGATGGCCCGTTGTGAATCGCTCACAACAAAGCGCGCCTTGTACGTGTGGAGAGCGAGGGCGATGGCCACCTCTTCTGCCGTTCCCGGATCCGTAGTGTCAATGCTGCAGCTCGAGACGAGGGACCCCCCGGCATCGGTTACAGCAGAGACCATCTTGCCGGTGCCGTAGTCGGCTGCATCTCCGTAGTAGACGTCACGTTCCTTGCTGAGGAGGGAGTGTAGAGCCCGAACACGCGCACTCCTGCGACCCTCGTGGTGTATCGGGTGCATGTGCCTCGGGATGGGTTGGATGAGGAGCGCGGTCCGGACCTGCGTGGGAACGGCGCACTTGGGCCCAGTCTGATTGTCGTAGCGAATGCCTAGGCTGCGGAGGATATGGCGACCTGTCGCACTTCTCGTGAGACGTTCCATTTGAGATGGGCGTTGAGCTTCCACGATCTCGTCCACCGTGTTGTGGATGCCGAGGGCCGCGAAACGGTCGTTCGAAGTGGAGTCGGCTAGACCCAACGCCCTCTTGTACGACTTGCGAATAAGACAGTCGAGCTTGGTCTTCTCTGCTACCGCGAGACGAAGGAACGGGAGGACGTATGCCATCTTGCTGACGACGAAGGCACGTACCAGTCGGACCAGGTTACGTTCTCTCATGCCAAATCTACGGCCGGAGATCCGCGAGATGAGTCGTGTGATCTGGGAGGTCGTAGCCTTGAGCGAGTTGATCGTCTCGTAATTGTTGCCGTCCGCTTGGATGCGAAGCCCGAGAACCCGGATGCTCTTAACCGCCGGAATTCGGACTCCCCGCGAGTACAGCTCGATGTCTGAAGGGAGCTGTTTAGCTCGAACCGGTTTGAGGAGGAGGAGCTCTGACTTCTGGGGCGAGCAGACGAGGCCTCGAGGCGTCACGTAGTCTTCGACCGCGTCGATCGCCGCTTGAAGCGTGTCCTGGATTTGGCCATCGCTGCCGCCAGCCACCCACAGCGTAATGTCGTCCGCGTAGATGCTGTGCTGAAGGCCGCCGATGGCTTCCAGGCGCTCCGGGAGGCCCAGCATGGCCGTATTAAATAGGAAAGGAGACAGGACAGAGCCCTGGGGGGTGCCCCTGACGCCCATGGGAATCTCTTCAGAGGTGGCACCGCCGATCGAGATTCGGGCTGTGCGGTTCGTGAGAAAGTCTTGGATGTAGGCATACGTCCGGGCTCCAACCCCCAGCTGCTCCAGGCCAGCCAGGACCGCGTTGTGCTTGATGTTGTCGAAGGCTTTGGTAAGGTCCAGGCCGAGCACGGCCCGCGTGTCCAGCCTAGAGCAGCCCTCTCCGTCTATGATCTGGTGTTTGAGACGCAACATGACATCTTGCGTCGAGAGGTGTGGTCTGAAGCCCACCATCATGTGCGGGTAGAGAGCTCGATCTTCCATGAACCTGTTTAGTCGGTTCAGTACGACATGCTCCATGAGTTTCCCGACACACGAGGTGAGCGAGATGGGACGCCGCGCGTCGATGGAAGACTTCTTTCCGGGCTTGGGAATCATCACCACCCTCGCCGTCTTCCAGGCCGGAGGAATCTTTCCGTCGTGCCAGCACCTGTTGAAGTAAGCCGTGAGCTTGTCGACCATGTCGTGTTGAAGGTGTCGGAGCATCTTGTTTGTGACTTCGTCGGGACCGGGAGCGAACTTCGTTTTGAGGTCGCGGATGCCAGCGGTCACTTTGAGGGTTGTGAAATCGGCGTCCAGTACCTCGTTAGGGCTTCCCGCGTAGAGGGTGGGCGAGCGGGGCGGCGTGTCTCCCAAATATCTTTGGCGGACCAAGTCGATGAGGTCCTCTTCGGAATTTCCGCTTCTTCGGAGGATCTCGCACATACGGTTATGTTGCGCGGCCTTGTTGCCTCCCGGGTCGAGGAGGTGTCGAATGATATTCCACGTTTTTGGCACGTTGGGCTGCCCGTCGAAGCTGTCACATAGATCTTGCCATTGCTGTTGACAGACGAGCTCGGCGTGCTCTTCGATAGTGCGGCTAAGCTGAGCGATGCGTCGGCGAAGCGATCTGTTCTTCTTCTGTGTGAGAAGTCGTGTCTCGAGCTGTGTCTTGGCTTCCCAGAGGTGGAGAAGGCGGCTATCCGCCGCGTCGAGACCATCCGTCTTCGGGAATCACCTTGGTGGCGTGGTCAGCTGTGGTGCGGATCCAGTTTGACCAGAGGTCGATGTCCCGGATTTCGTCGACGTGCTCTTCCTCGAGAAGCGAGCGGAACTTGTCCCACTCAACGACCGTGCAAGGTTTGCCCCTGCGTTGAGTCGGGCCAGCCGTCGCATCGATGCGGACAACAAAGTGGTCGCTTCCAAGGTCTTCTCCCGTGTTGCTCCATATTACCTCCTTGACGTGCTTCGTAAAGGCGAGGTCCGGCGGGGTGTCGTTTTGTCGGATGTTCCCCCGCCGGGTGGGTTGGTCCGGGTCGGTGAGCAGCGAGAGGCCGGACTCGTGGGTATCTGTCCAGAGATTCCTGCCCTTAACGCTTTCCGTCCCGTATCCCCAGGCCGGGTGTGGTGCGTTAAAATCTCCCACGACGAGGAGAGGCTGTTTCCGGGCGATGTCCAGCGCCGCGCGGAATAGCTTGGCAAACTTGTGCTTGGAACGAGGACCGCTATAGATGTTCAGCACGAAAAGACTGCGGGTGTCCGCAATCTTGGGGGCGATGATCTCGATCAGGAGATGGTCGATGGTCGAGATGCCAGTGTCATGGAGGATTACCGGAGCGTTTCTCTTGACCAGTGTCTTGACTTGCGTCTTCTCCGATTTGTCGCACCCGAACGTCACGTAGCCCGAGAGCTTGGCTAGGCGCCTTGGCTCTTGCAGCGCAATCACGTCCGGTCGGTCTTCGACGGGGAGTGCATTTATGTGTTGTTGGAAGTATCCGCGTTTCTTGCCGTAACCGCGACAGTTGCACTGCCAGACGATGTAGGTTTTGGATTTACGCACGGTGCTCGTGCGGGTGAGGTGGTGTCGCCCGGAGGCGGTCGAGTTGTGAGGCGAGACTGGCGAGCCATGTTCGGTTCTGCAGCACTTCGGCAAAGGCTTGGTGGATTTCCTGTTGAACGGACGGGGGCCGAAGAGCCTCCCTCTCTCGCAGGTGCAGGTGATTTGGATCGTGTCGCCATCTTGCGCTTGACAGGTGGGGACGTTGCTGCTGGATCTGGTGTCGGGGGTGTCGTCCCGGCTTGCAACTGGTGTCGAAGGTTGGCGCATTCCTGCTCCGTCCGTTCGAGTCGGTAACCATCCTGCGAAGATCGTTCAAGTCCGAGTTTCTCGAGTTGTTGGCCGTCTTGTCCTTGCTCTCGCGCGTCGGCTCGCTGGCGGGCGGCGCACCCCATTGAACGGTTTGATCCCCTCCAACCCTTTGTCGGGACCGGGAGCGGCTTCTGCTAGGCTTCCGCGGGTTTTGCCGCTTCGCTGGCGTGCGGCTCCACGACCGTGACGCGGGAGGGAGAGGAGGGAAGTCGATTGAATTCGGCTGGAATGGCGTGCGCTGTTCCGCAGCCTGTTGGAGACGGTCCCACTTGCGCTTGACTAGGATGTGCGGCATCTTGTAAAGAAGCTTGCATTTCTTATCCCCCGTCGGATGACTCTTGCCGCATATCCCACAGGATGGTAGGCAATCGTGAGTGGGTGCCGGGTTGAGCGCGTAGCACGCGTTGCAGCGGCGATCTGTAGGGTTGGGGCAGACATCCCCCCTGTGTCCCACGCTGCCGCAGGTTGCGCAAATCTCTACCTTCTTTCTATAGATGTAACATCGAAAGACAACGTTCTCGTACCGCACCCAAAAGGGTACACGGTCACCCTCGAAGAGAATGAGGACGGAGTGTGAGCGTCCCATGTAGTACGGAGGGGTTTCTGCTGTGAACGAGATTCTCTAGAATGTCTTGCTCGGAGTCTTCCTGCGGTACGCCTTGAATGACGCCTCGTTGGGTGTTGTCGGGAGGAACGACGTAGGCGGCGACTTCCCATTCCTTCTCTCGGTACGTGTACTTCGTCAGTTGACTAGCGCGTGGCGTTTTCGGGGCTCGGGGTGCTATAAGAAGCGTGTTTAGGTGCTCGTTTAGCCGAAAGGTGTCCCTAGCTGCCATGCCGCCAGTCACGTCCACCGCTAGTTGTATGCTACGCTGTAGCGTCACGCAGTCCCCCGGTTTTAGTTGAATGCCCCCGCGCAATCGAAAGACCACCCGGACGTCATCTTCCGGTAGCTTGGGAAGCCTCGGGGTTTTCTTTCCTCTAGCTGCTCTTTTGGGCGCTAGGCCAGTCGTCTCGAGTTGATTCTGGCGGGGCTGCACCGCTGCGTTTTGCACCCTGCGCCTCGCATATGCTTTCTTGATTGCGTCTTGCCAGCCGCTGTTAGGCGCGTGGAAATCTTCCGGCGAAATCTCGTCTCCGTCCATGATGACGCAAGAGTGAGTAGAGCTTACCGGTGTGTGTGGTAATCCCTGCCTGGCAGTCTGGTCCCACTTGGACTCCGGAGGACTCGAAGGGTTTCCACTCGGTGTGGCCATATAGTACTGTTAGGCTTAGCGAGGCGACGCCCCGCTTCGGCTAGGGAAATCGAAGTTTCTCGGCGAAAAACGGGTCGAACACCGAAAAAATGGTATCCAAATGTTCCGCACCACTTCCGCCGTGCGGTAGCGTAGAAATAGTGGCACAATCAAGCAGATGACCTCAGGAAAAACTGATTAGTGAGCGGAGCCATGTAACACACGTCTTGCACCTGCGGCCGCTCGCAGCGCCTCCCCGCAAAGGAGCAGGCACAGAGAAACGGCGAATTCCGGCTGGTCCTATCAACTGCAGAAAGCACGCCATGAAGTTGTGCCTCTTTCGCTGTTTGTTTGGCCCTTCGGCTCATAACATCGGCGGCGCTCGGACCGAAGCTGAAACGAAGTATAATAACTGCGAACACTAATAACTGTTCTTTTTAAGAAACGGAAAGGATAAGTTACTTTTTGAATTGTTCCGCAGCTTTCCGGTTCAGCACATATAAAAAAATTACTAAAATCATATTGTCTACCGATAGCGTCTGAAAGGCTCCTTCGGAAATCCTCGCGCTTTCTGCGGGGAGTAGCAGCAGAGCTGAGAACAGCGCTCGATCCAAGCGCTTAATCTCGGCGAAGAGCGCGATAAGAAAGCGAGCCGCCATGGCAGCCGCCTCATGGCGCTGATAGCACGGACCGGTTGATGGTTCATATCGCCTGCGGCTGTACGCACCAAACAAGAATGTTGAGCAGGACATCTCGTAAACCCTGATATGGGGAACGATAAAAAAACGGACGAACACAACAAAACATAACAATAACTTTTATTGGAAGTAAGCTCGAGTGGTTCATGATTATCGTGTAAGAGTTATTAGGTTAGTAATAGAATTTAGTCATCGAACTCTCGAAATATACCACAAAGATAACGACTGCAATAGGAGCATTTATTAGGATATAAATAACACATCTCATTCGCTCGATCATGTAGTATCGAATCTTCTATTTCAAATACAGAAATAAAAAAACTCCTTAAATGCGAGAAGAAAACACTACAAACAAAAACTGGTTGGTTCCAAAATATTTGAAAAGGAAGAAAAGCAAACCAGATTAAGTTAAAGTAAGATTAGTCGCCTCATGTTCTGCTCAATGTCAACCTGAGGTGCCGACCAATCAGTTAGGCAACTACAAAATTCATATTTCATTTCAACTCAAACCTCAAAAGCGTCTTCATCGTTTTGTCGCCTCAAATAAGTTCGGAGAACTAATGTTGTTGTTGCTGTTTTTATACTGTGGTAAGAACAAGGTGATGTTTGCTTTATTTCAGCTGCCTCCTGGTGTACACGGAAACGAAGGAAGACAACTGGCATGGTTATGCCTACGCCTCGGCATACGCCTTTTTCAGCTTGTCGGAGAAGTGTCGAACGCCCACGCTGCCTACCTCATGGCGCTTGGAGCCTATAATGTTAATAAAGTTCAGTCGGCACTTACGTGTGCCTTATTTAAAAGGGTAATTCAGCATGACTTCTTCCGCCCCCCAGGTATAAAAAGAAAAATATTAGATCGCTAAAACCTTTGCATCAGGTGAACTTTGTTGAATGACTAAGTTATTGACCGATTTTGTTCTATAATTATAGATGTTCAGCCAACTTCACACTTGATTTCCACGCAGAGGCTCAGGGTTCAGTTTCTACCACTGGACTGCCTATAGTTAGCCATTTGATTTTCCGATAAATTTGTTTGACGTTCCAGTGAAACCTTAGAGCTTATCATTTATTTTTCTCAATAACCGTCCCTACCATAGTGTTGGTGTAAAGGAAGCCGAATGGTTTCAATCAAAGAGGCAGTTTATCACTAGTGTAAGATCCTGTTCTCCCACTCACATCGATGCATGTGACACTAGTTATAATTAGGGTTCGGCTTTTTTGGTTTAAACCGATAAAAACCGATAAAAGTACGCCGAATTCATTTTCGGAAATTCGGTTTTAACCGAAAACGGTCAGTTTTTAGACGCGGCATTTTCGATTGAAACCGATAAAAATACGTCGCATTCATTTTCTAAAATTCAGTTTTAAGCGGAAACGCTCACTTTGACCTTCCAGTCGTACCGCAGAGCCGTGGCGAAAAAGTAGAACGACAGTGTCTATCGAAATGTGCCCGAATTTATGGGATACACGGATGCCATCACGACGTTTTGGTTTGAAAGTGCCGCATCATCGATCCGAACGTGAAGTCTGAAATGCCCCATGACTCCCCATATACAAGCGTGTTTTTTTAACTCATTGTAAAGAAGACTGACTTGATGCAAGCTCTGCATGTTATGTTGTGCTTCAAAACGTCGCACCGTGTCTTTTTTGGCGGTCACAATTGGTTGACTGGCTGATTTTGGCTCAGGCAGCTCTTCATCTCCTCAGCCTGCCAGTGTCCAGTGTTAGCGTTGTGAGGGCATTCTCGAAGCTCAGGGTCATATTAACAGGGAAGAAACAGTGCGGATCAACGAGGAAAACTTGGGAATGTACATGTGTGTGTAATATAATAAGATCACGTAATTTTGACGTACAGACGGTAAAGTTCCATTTTTTTTTTTGGAAATAGGCTTTATATATGACTTGTCTGTACTTCTGTTTTTTTCTTTTTTCTTTTATAGTTGCGCATATTTGCCAAATAAAGTGTCCATTTCTTTTTCAATGTATCTGTGCCGTTATTCTTTGAATGATCACAAATATCAGAGCAACAAGGATCATCTGATCCGGTGAATGTTGGTGTTTATTGTATATTCACCGAAAAACGCCGATAAAATTTTGTGGGCATAAATATACGCCGAAAAAAACCAAAACTTGAATTTTAAAATAAACACTAAGAAAAGTACGCCGAATTTTGAAAAAAAAAATAGAAACCGAAAACGAGGAACCCTAGTTATAATATCTTGTGTTGGCATATGTTCGCCAGGTGAAATCTATCCCGGTAGTTCACCCTTTCGTCACTTGCTACCTCTGTTGCTATCACTGTGAACTCCGGAGCGGCAGAAAGGTCTTTAGGTTGTCTCATGCCAACCCAAACCTTCCACCTTCAGTGATGATATGGCGTCACGCGAACTTCGAGTTGCATACGCGCAGTCAAAGCGCTACAAAAGGATTATATACAATTTCATCCTGTAATATCGGAAATACTTAAACACCCTCCCGCGATTGAATCTCTTAATTCATTTCGACCACTAATGAAACATTCACAACCCAAGCAGCACGCCATAATAAAGCCTAACTTGGCTCAAGTTTGGCAACCCTAGATACATTACTTGGGCCTAATAAACTTTGCACCAAGGCGCTTATATTTGGCCCTAATTTGATATAGAAATGTCAAGTTTGGCTCGTTTTCTTTTTACCTGTTGTCAACATATTTGGCAAAGAGCCAGGTATGAGTCACAAATTCCACGTTACAGCTGAACAACCGCAAGTGACATCTAATTCATACAATTGTTTCTGTATCCAAAGAAGCAAGGTGACAAGCCAACAACCAGGCATCGAAGCTTAACTCTGGCACTTGCTCCGCAATTTAGGGCCGAAATGCCCGCACCCTGTAAAAGAAAAAGAAGTTTGGTCACACTTCGACTTTTTGGACTGCTTTCAGGACCCTGAATTGTCACACAAAAAACACGTTTACTCGAAACAAATTCATTGGGCTGGCACGCTCCCAGTTAGACGCCCACACATATACAGCGAACACACGATGCAG